ACGTTGCCACTTGTTTGTACCATTTTCAGGCGATTTGTAATCTGTTCTAGAAAAACGATGTGTTTTTTTAGGATTTCAAGAAGCATATAGAACAAACAGAACATGTATCCATGCTGAAAGTAGATTTAGATGTTAGATAGAGATTATTATGTAATATATGCATCCGATGAAGCATTGCATGAAGTCTGTTGATGATCAGAGGCTGTTGTTGGGGCTGCATACACGTTTTTTTATTTTTGTTTTGTAGGCAGACCATGCAGGCCTCAGAGAGTTAAACTTGTTTTGTTTTGAAAATCCACAGCAGAGGTTTGTGTCGTACGACATGCGGTGTATTTAAAATGTTTGCATAATCTCTCAGTAGCCAACGATCTGTGAGTCTGTTGGCTCGGACATAAACTCCGTAATAAATGTAGTCTACATTTCATAAGAGGTGTAAAACCTGAGAGCATTTTAAATCGCATTTGAACTAAATGCTTATATAATCTGTAGTTGTATTGTTGATTTATTGTGTGAACGAGGCGATGTAGAGAAGGTTAAGCTGTCATTATTAGGCTGTTATAAACTGTTGGAGTGGTGAGCAGGCCTATTGTTTTTGGATATCTGTGGAGTCAGGTGGTCCGTGAGTGTTTCTTTATTGGGTAAGTGGTCCATGGTATGAAAAGGTTTGAGAAATACTGCGCCAGTGGATTGTCAATGGGGGGAGCCTCGCTGCGGGGAAATTATACAGATGGCCCTGAAAAATGTCTATGCACACGTTATTATTAATAATAATTAACCCCCACTTTGGGAACCCCTGGGTGAAGGGATGATTTCAGCAACGGCTTGAATTCATCTGTTCCCATGTTTTGTCCACCTGAGCCTGCACACTTTATGTGAGCATTTTGCTGCACATTAAAGGGGACCTATCATGCAAAATGCACTGTTGTACGTCTTTTCTACATGAATATGTGTCCCCGGTGTTCCAGGGAACTTACCAAGTGTCAGAAAACACAACCCTCTCTATTTTCCTCCATACCCAAATCTCTAAAAACGGGGGCTGCAACGGATCTGATAAAAACTGATCCAGATTTGAACATTTCTCTGACGTCAGGACGGTGGAGCTGACCTATCAGGGGAATGAGAGGTTGCCGTGGCATGGTAACAGCATGGTAACAGCATGGTAACACGACGCTCGTAACTCGGCCCCCTCCTTTGCAGGGGGGCGTGGTCAGCTGCAGCGCATGCAAAGACAGGGTGGAGGAGAGCAAAATAGAGCGAAATGAGGCATGGCTAAAATGCATGATCTGTTTGGTATTTTGAAAAAGAAAACGTATAAATATACCTTATATAGGTATGGCCCTACAATATATTATTCAAATATAGCATGATAGGTCCACTTTAAAGTAAAAAGTAGTGTTGAAATAGCAGATTTATTTTGAAGGCAAACTACTTCTGACTCCCATATTGACAAATAATACACAAACCCTCCACTGTGTAACACCTCTAGTCATGAGAGTAGAGCGATACATCTTCTCATAATAAAGGGTAACTTCAATTTCACGTGTTTCTTAGCTAAACTTTCATTCCTATCAAAGGTTTGTACAGCTTTTTAGTGGGAAATTAAAGCACTTTAGGCACCTTAAAAGAAATCAAGCCAAACAATTAACTAAATACCCATTGAATCACCTGTTCTGATACAATTGATATATTTATTTTTACCAAATATACTGAGCGTTTTTGGAAGAAACATTGCTTTTGGGAGGATTTGAGTTCTATCTATCTTATATTTCGGTTGTTTCTAAAAAATAAGCACTGGACAGCTGTCTCATTTAAGTAGAAAATCCAACTTGACAGCATCAGTCAACAGATTTGAAAAAGGACTATGCAGAATTGAAGTGCTGGTTGTCCAGTGTGTTTGAAGACTCACCCCGTTGGAGCTGTTGAGGAGCTGGTTGAAGGTGTTGTGGACGGCCTGGTAACTCTCCAGCTCCGTCTGACACAGTGAGACGAGGTAATCCTTCACCTGCTCATAGATCCTGCCGTCTAACACCTGCACACAAATATCCCCCCTATAAGTTTCCGGAGAACACGTTTGATCTTCCACCAGCAGCCACACATCCAACCACTCAGAGTGACGGTCAGCCTCACCTTGATGCAGTCCATGAGGTCTGTGTTGTAGTAGCGCTGCTGGTGAGCGTTAGCGGCTGCTAGCATGAGAATGTAGTCGTTACGGGCGTGTGTTGCTTTGGAGTTGCACTCGCTTCTCTTGGCTTTCAGCTGGGAAATGAAAGTGTATAACTGATGAGATGCAACACCAACATGTAACAAAATGTGGGGCAGTTGAGAAATATCAAAATCTCATACCTTGACGGTTGCTCTCTGAAGACTTGATCTGGACTGGAAGAGACTTAGCCTGGACCTGAGAAGAAGTATTTCAACAGTATTTCAATATTTCTTACAGTTGTAGTTTTGAATATACACAGCACAGAGGACCAGGAGGCTAGCTGCTAGCCTACGGCTTAACACACCTATGTTTTGTTGGAAAAGACAGCTTTCTTATATGTCTAATAAAGCTGGTTTCAAGAAATCTGCCTTCCTCTGCTATATTTCCCACAGAGAACAATGATCACTAAGCGGCAACCACTAATTCTGAAACAATTTTCAGCACAAATGCATGTGAATAAGCAAGACTTTAAACAAGGAGAGACTTTATTTCATGGAGCAATGCATTCTTGTATTCAAAATAACTGCAATCTATAGTCCAACAGAAACTGAACCAATATTGTAAAGTACGCTTTTGAAAACTTTTGACAACTCAACATTTGACTATTTGTCAAAGAGTGAGTGAGTGAGTGAGTGAGTGAGTGAGTGAGTGAGTGAGTGAGTGTGTGTGTGTGTGTGTCCATCCATCACTTAGTTAGAATAAGCAAGCCATGCGACCAGAATAAGGACGGTTGAAGGGGAGCAATCTGATTACTGCTGAATGTATTCAGAGTATACAGTCACCAGGTTACTTGAGTGCATTTAGAAGTATTCTCCGATGACCTGCATAACCTAGTTGTACTGTTTTTCTAAATGTTAACACATTGATTGAACAGAAAGCAACTACACATTGCAACAGACACGTAGGAAGGGAAGATTGTGCAATGATTTAGCAAAAGAAAAAAATGTTGAAGAACCACAGACAGTAAATGATCCAACTTCACTTCTCTGCACCTCAATGACCTGAAGTCCCTCTGCAGACACTATGAAGAATGTGTGTGTTTACACACGAGGCCTGAAGTAGTATTTGTAGTATTAGAATGAGTGCCAACCCAGCTGCTAAGACTTTTCCGGCAGCAGAGCTTCACCTTCGCTCTATAATAAACTCTCCTGATGGGCAGAGAAATGTCTGCAATGTGGAGAAGCAAAGAGCCAGCTGGTAATGTGTGCCAGGACTAAACGTGGAGAAGAGACACCTGAATATCAGACGCCTGTAAGCTGGAAACTAATGGGTACTACCATCATTGATTAGTTTGATAAGTCGTTTGTTTTTCACCTCAAAAACATCTTTGGCTTATTGTTACTTCACTTGGATGTTATCAAACAAAATCAAGCAATCTGATTGGTTCTTAGCCGTGATATAATGAGCGTATATCACGGGTAGAATTGTAGTTACTTTTCACACGTCAGTATCCCTCCGCGTCTGAGAAACACCACGCCCCTTAGCTGTGATATAATGACCATATCACGGGCTGTCGTGAGCTATTGCTTAAATATACCATTGGGCATGATTGGTGACATCACAGATATAATTAAAATGAGGGACCAATATGCAACTTACACAAGTGTCACGTGACATAGATTCAGGATTTTGCAATGAGGAAAAAGTAGTGTATGTGATTCTAAAAAGGTTTAATCGAAAGCAGGGTTTTTTCTGAATGACTCAAACTTGTCTGGAGTTTTTCTTTATGAATTTGGTTAGAAAAAAGACATGAAGTGGTCAAAAGATTCTTAAAGAATGTCCATCAAAAGACCTAAAAGCCTTCAATGCTATATTGCAATTGCTTTTGTTGAATAAAAAAACAAAGAATCCTCACACAGGGAAAGTTACAAACATCGAATCCTTGGTATTTTGTCTCGAACATCGACTGAAATGATAATTTAATCATCAAATGAATTGCTTTGTAACTTGACGAATCGTTTCAGCTCTAGTTGTTTGTATAACTTGTTTGCTCTTACAAACAATTGTCAATTGATTGGTACTATTTATTTTATAAAGTTGATTACAAAAAAAACTCTTAATTGAAATGTGTTTCACGTGCAGCAGCGACCATTTCCACTTTGAAAATTGCTTATTCAATTTGGGATAACATCAGTCAATTGTTATAAAGATAGTAGAGTATTTTGGTTCGTACTTGGCGTCCAGCTCGGCCTTCTCTCGGACGGCCTGAGCCATGGTCTCGGCCTCCTGGTATTTCTTCCGGCTCTTCGTCAGCTCCTTCACGGACTCCTGCAGCTCCGCTTGAACCACCGTCAGCTGATCAATACACTGAGGATGGAGACATTTAAGTTTTACATTTATGGAAATAATAATTATTCCTGCAATGCATCACCTGAAAAGTATGCAAAATCCCTGTGTGGTGAGTAATGTCAGGATGGTGTGTGGGATACAGCAGCTACACATGGGGGGCTGTGAACAAGAGCAGCTCTGTAGGCTGCAGGAGAGAGAAGGAGGGTTAAGGCATCAGGAAATAGACTCCAGACGTACAGCGATCCACTTCAGTGTGGGATTGATAATGGGCTGCTAACGGTCATCAAAGGGACAGTTTGGATCTCTTGAAGCAGGATTTTTAAGGTAACCATTAGAGATGTCCCGATCCGATCACGTGATCGGGGATCGGAGCCGATCACGTGATTTTCAAAAGATCGGAATCGGGAGAAAAAAATCGGGGATCGGGATTTTTTTTTTTTTTTTTATAAAATATTTTTATTATTTTATTTAATGTTACAAAACAAAAATGACCATGTTCACGTCTTAAAGTCGTCCTGAGGCCTTAGTTTTGGTTTAAAATTACACAACATCATGTATGTGTTGCTTCTTTTGGGCTTGTTTTCATAGACCTGGTTGCTTATTTCTCTCAAATCTGGCAACAGAGTGGGCGCAGTGTCTAATAGTAGCAGTAAGCTAACGAGAGGCTACGTTCAGCTGGTGCCTCGGGAGTCGGGACAGAGAAAATGTCAGGAGTTTGGAAGTATTATAAAATTGAAAGCGAAGGCAGTGTAACAGCCAGATGCAATGTTTGCAAGGCGGAGGTTCCGCGTGGTGGAAAGAACAGAGCTACGTTCAACACGACCAATCTAATACAAACACCAACAACAACACGAGGAGTACACAGCGGCCACTCAGGTAACGGCACTGAAACAACCGACACTTTCAGAGACTTTTAAAAGGAAAGAGAAACTGCCCCAGAACAGTGAAAAGGCCAAAAGAATAACAGCCAAGATAGCTGAATTCATCGCGTTGGATGACCAGCCGTTATCTGTTACCTTTTTTTTCTCTCAATGCATTGCACAAAGATCGGATCGGGAAAAATCGGTATCGGCAGATTGTCAAAATCAAATGATCGGGATCGGATCGGGAGCAAAAAAAGGTGATCGGGACATCCCTGGGAACCATCATACAGTAGATGGGAGATAGCATGCCCTAAATTTGGAGGAACATGAGCAGCAGCAACATATTTAAAAGGTTTAAATGTAAGCTTGATTAAAATGATTTCCACCACTTTGCCTTGCAATCAATAATCTTTATCGGTGCTCCCTTTAAAGCCACCGGACTCCTTTACCACCTCAAAGTATTATCCCTCTGCCAACCAGTCAAGTTGCAGTTTTTTTATCAATATCTGCCCAAATGTCCTCACTTAAAGACACGTGTGTAACATTTTCATATTGACAAATTCCTTCTTGAATTATAGCCATAAACAGATCCTGTGAGATTACAGCACCTTGACCTTTGACCACCATATTCTTATCTGTTTATCCTTGAGTTCAAGTGGAGATTTAAAGAAATTCATTTAAAGTATTTAAGATCTATATCTTATTCTTAGAGATATTCCAACTGATCGATGCAGAGAACCCGTTGTTCTGCAAGTGGATTTAAAGAGAGCATAATATACAGCTTCAGTTCTTTGTGGAAAGGGCTTTCTGACAGCAAGGTAAAGTGGGGTTAAGCCCCATTCCCCCGCGGGCAGGGGAAGAAACACATCACTGCAAGAAACAGCGTCTGAGGGCTTCTTAATATTTAAACACCTATGAATGTGTCATACCCAACTAACGGGAAGAAACTCAGCTACCTGATGATACGAACCATTTTTGCCGAAACAAAACACAAGTCTCACAAGAAGCGTCTAAATGAGCCCTGAGCGAAAATATGCTATCGCACTTAGCAGAGAACTCACAGCTTAAATACCCGTATTACTTATCGTATCTGCAAAGACAAGATATCGATTAGCAAGCGGAGATTCCACAGATTCCAGAAATATTAGTAGCTTCACGGAGGAAGCTTCTTACCTTAGCTGTTGTTCTGATCAAAATGTGTGTTCAATGGCATCAAAACGATAAACACGCTGCTGAAGGTTAATCCAACGTGTCTGTGTCACTTTGAAATGATTCCAGATAATCCATCTTCATATTTACTAGTTTGAGGTTTCAGTTTGCAGTTTTCAGAGCATCACATTGCTTTCGACTGCGTGCGCATAGCTCTCACTTGTCAATGGTAACGTGTGTGTGTATGTGGAACCTCCCCTTCGATTCTATTGGCTCTAACGGTTAAATAGAGGTGTCAATCATCAAAATCGACCAATGGGTTCCAGAGAAACGGCAAATTCACCAAAATGTGTTTTGTTTTGTTGCTAAATCTCTCTAAAAAGGTCAAATGTCACTTGTGTTGCATCAATCTCGATACAGGGAACTAATTATCTGTTATAGTTTGGATTCCTAAAGCTTTGAGTCTACTATCCCATCATTCAAGGGTGGTTTCCACTATAAGTAATGTTTTTCTTTGGACGGACACTATCAATTCAATTGTTCAATCTGAATTTACTTTACAATAAAACAATTCTATATTGATTCTGACTTTTCTACATCCAACTCACAGGTGTATCATTGCTTAGAGATTTTTTTTTATTAATTTACCCCTTTTAGAAGTGAAGATATAGTCAATTGTTCTGGGAATGTCATTTTCGAGCCTGAGACCTGAAAAACAGGCTCCGGGCTTAACAGGTTAAAGGGGACCTATCATGCAAAATGCACTTTTTTATGTCTTTTATACATAAACATGTGTCCCCGGTGTGACGGGGAACTCACGCAGCGTCAGAAAATAAAACCCTCTCTCTTTTCCTCCGTACCCAAGCTTTAAAGCTTTATACCCCAAATCAGCACTTTTGAAACAGGAAGTGAAATAGAGGGGTATGAGGCATGGATAGAATGGGTGATCAGTTTGGTATTTTGAGCAAAACACTTCATAGACATGTTTTTTATATATCTGAGACCTATGCTATTGCCTAAAAATAGCATGTTAGGTGACCTTTAACTGATACTGATTTCTTTATGTGGTTCACATTAATACATTTATTTGCTTGTTGTTGGTACTCCTGTCAGTTTCATCCGAATCTACTGTTGGTAAAACGCATAATAAATCCCTCATAAATCACCCTTCAAAAGATCCCAGCAATCTCTTTAATGATAAGCGCTGCTAATGTGACGTCTGGACGCATATATTGCGCAGTTTATCAGTTGTTCACTGGTAGTTTACAGACACATTGTTCTGATCAGAGGACAAAGAGCATGTTTTGATCAGATCTGTTTACCTTCCTCAGCTGCTGCTCCTTCTGAAGTCGGACCGTCTTTGCAGGATCTGCCACCTGGACTTTGTAGTTATCACAGGCGCTGATTCTGGACTGGGTGACCTGGACCGTGCCCTCCAAATAGGCCCGCCATACACAATACATGTTCCTAGAACCAAACATATACAAAATGACCCACGTACATAATGAATCATCTAATCTGTTACCAGCAGCCAATCGGTTATACTATCAGTAAGAAGTGCTGCAATTGTTTTCATCCCTAAGAACTGTGGAAGAAAATGGTGATGTAAATGAATTTCTGCCACAGTATCGTCACCTTTAATTAGACAGACATGCCATGTGTCAAGATATATACAAATGTAAAAGACCAAACGCCTGATCAACCTCACAAACAGACAGTGGAGAAAGTGTTTACCTCTGATCCGTTTGTTCCTCTGTCAGACTCTCCGGCCATTCCTTCTTTAGATACTGATTCGCCAACTTCTGGAGTGCCTGGTAGAGAAGAACACATAAAAACAGAGGACGACCATTAACCTTTGACACCGACACACATCTCCTGCGTCTCATCTTCACACGGGTCATGTTAAGAGGACCTCTGACCTCGTCTCGTAAACCACCAGGACACCAGACATGCAGACAGAAGGTCTCGCCTCCAAAACATAAGAATTCAGTCAAATGACCTTTTCTAAGATGCATTTTCAGGGTATATGCAGGAATCCTGAAGTCAGATGTAAGACCTTTTTTAAGACCCTTTCCATACATTTTAAGACCTCATGGCCACTTGGAGTTTTAACCGGTTACCTTGGCGACACACTTTACCTCACATTGACTATATACAGTATTGATTGTCCTTCCTCCTTATCTTCCAACCATTTGGACGCAGACTTGCATTTCCCCATAACGATGTTTTTTAACAACCGGCGTAAACGGACCTTCGCGCGCTATCAAGCAGTGAGCGTGCGATGTCCTGTTCAGATGACGTCAAATCCAACGGGATGCCATAAATAAACTACACAGAATCACACTACACACCTACGCAATGATTACATTCAGGCAGACTGTAGAATACAACCTCTTTGGACAATTTATATACTTATTGAAAACTAGCTACAACATGTGATACCTTGGAAAATGCCCTTTAATAATTTTTAATAGCCTTCATTTTCGCTAAATTGATTTATCAACTTTTAATACTTTTTAAGACCCCGCGGACACCCTGATTTAACTAATTTAAAACCAACGATTTTTTCAAAGAAGGCCCACTTTCAGATTTCAATGTGATTCAGCCTTGCATGGAATCGTTCACCTGTAAACCAGAGTTTAGAGGTAGGCCTCACTTTCTGGTTTTTATGCTGACGTAGGCTACATCTTTAGAAGAAAAATGTAATTTATGCAGACCACATTCCCCCCAGAGATATATTAAGTTCCTCCACCTCAGCCAACAGTGAGGTTAACCTTTGAAGAACTGAAATAGCGGGTAGGAGTCAAGAAGAAAAAAAAGTAAGGAGGATATGTCTGGTGTTTCTGAGTGAATGTTAGGTATGTCAGAGATATGTAGCTCGAATAAGCTAAAGGATGGAGAGCGTGAATATTTTTAAGCATCGTTCAGATGATTATATTCTCCTAAATAAGTATGCTGCTAGCTTGACCGACTCATTAACCCTTGTGTTGTGTTCGAAAGCTGTTACCTTTCATAGTGTTCGCGGGTACATTTTGACCCATGATTTATTTCAGTCCAAAACACACAAAAAAAGACTATCATCCAATATTGTTTTAACAACATCATAACTAACTTATAATGCATTCATAACCGTACAATCCTAATTTAATGTTATGGCCCAAAACACATTACACCACATATTGCACACGTGCATGTGTGTGTTCAGGTTCAAGTGTTAGTGTCAGATTCTTTGAGAAAGGCAGAGTTCCCGTGGGGGGAGGGGGGCAGAGGGAGGGGAGACCAGGTGCATGTTGCGAACAATTATTGTTACAGTAGATGAAGGGGGTGGGGGAGGGGTGTCTAAAGTCAAAGATGAATCTTGATTGGGCCAAATTTGACCTCGAGTCACCCACAACAATTCTGCTGGGTCTCCCCCATAGACTGGTCTCCCCAGACCCCAACACCAAATTATACATTTATTTGTTAGAGACCTTCAGACTTGGCTAAAATGGTCAAAATCAGTTTTGTAGTGTTTATATATCTGTTGTGGAGGATATCATGAAGCCTTGTTCCCATACAAAAAACTAGAGCGTAGTTATTATATCATTTTAACTTGAAACGGGTCACGGGAGACCCGAACACAACATAAGGGTTAAAGCTACCGCTAATTAGCTTAATTTGTAATGATCTTGGTTTGTAAGCCACATTCAAAATAAGTTGAATCGTAGAATCCGTCACCATAATTATTTGATTTAAACCACATTGAAGAAAACAATGAACCTATAAACTTAAAAAGGGACGGTAAGAGACAAAGTGGGAATCTAAAAGACATTCATTCAGCTGTTGTGTTGCATTGTGGGAGTTGTAGGACGAGGTTTAGGTTTAGGTCTGTTAAAAATGGCTTCTGGGGCACTGTAGGAGCTGCACTTGGACGTACTTTGAGACTTAACAGGAATCCAGTAAAACATTTTGAGGTTCTGGATTTTTCATCTGTCGGGCGGTTTTTGAGAAGTTGCATTTTATGAAGTAATTTCTTAGATCCAGTGTTAAGGGGCTTCATTATTACAAAGGACTAAAAGTACTGCTTAGATTCTGATTGCTAGTTCCTCACTCGACTGAGAAGAACGCTGAAGTAGCCCTTTAAAGAAGACCTACAGTAGCCATGAATAAACTGTCATTCAAATTCGAGCCAGTCTGTTCATTCTTGTTGTTAAAATATGTCTCTTGAAATGTCTCCACCTTTACAAGTGAACTATCAATTCAATCTACTTCCCCTAAAAACTTGAGGTACTGGAATAATGTGGAAATACGATTGCAGGTAAACAGGTTTTACAATAAATAAGTTACTGCAGAGTATGTGAACTCATTCAATGGTTCCTGTATTAATCAGTTTATTGCATGTGAACAGAGTCAGTGTATAAATGTACCTCTTTTAGGATATACACAATCATTCCGGCTGCGTCAATTAGTATTCAATTGTTTAATTTGATACTATTACAATCTCAAAATTATCTGTGATATAATAATAATAATAATAATAATAATAATAATAATAATACATTTTATTTTTAGGCGCCTTTCATGACACCCAAGGACACCATACAATTTGTTAAAAAATAAATAAATAAAACGCTAATAGGCAACAAAACATGATAAAAACACAAACAGGAAATCATGGAGGAGACAGTCAAGTGGACACAAATGAAACATATAATAGGGAGCACTACAGTGAGTAGGCAGATTTGAACAGGTGGGTTTTTAATTGGGATTTGAATATGACCCTTTTATTATCTGCGAATGTCCATACGTATACATATTTTGATATATTTGTAATGTTTTAGCTGATTTGCATTTGTTATTGTCAGTAATGAATCACTAGTTAATTATTTTAAAGACTTAAACTTGCTTTTTGGGTCAAACTGATTGCAGATCAGGGGGTTTAGCGTCAGGACAAAATTAAGTGTCCATGGGGCAAAACGATATATATTATTAGTGATATAAGATACAAGCCGTCATTCCACTTCATGTTAAATAGAGACAACACTTTTTAAACTGTTTCTAATGCGTGCTTTTGCTCTTTTAAGTGATTTGCTCATCAAGGAAATCAGCCCATCTATCCTTCCTCTGTCCGCTCTGAAAAGACGGTCATGCGGACCCGAGGTCGTTGGCGTCGGTGCCAAAAGCTCCAAAAGGCGCTACAAACCCATCCTTTGTGGGATGAGATAGAGACTAGCGGACACGCCTGAATAGTGTGATTGGCAGAACAGGAGGCAGAGGAAGAGCGGCACAGAGGAGGACTTTTTATCACAACTGTGTGGTTTGAATAGCAATCGGCTAATGGCTAAAGCAGCTTGCAGGTGGAAGAGATGCAGAAAAAGGCGGGTAAAGATTTGAAAATAAATAAATAAATGAAAAGTGGAGGGTGTTACTGAAGGGGACGGAGAGCGCCAGAGACACTCTGACCCAGTTTGAGTCAACAATTGGCAGCGGGTATCTAATTGATCACATAAGGAACAGACAGAACAGAGAACACCTTTCAAACAATGAAGACATTTTCCTCATTAAACGAAGTAATCATTATTTTACAGTTTTGCAAACCAACCAATTGATCGTCTTGTCTATTAGATACACTTCGAGACAGGATCAAATCCATAAATAAATACAAATAAAAAGGACACATTCAAGAAGCTTCGATCAACATTTTTTTTTCCAATTTATTAATAATTTAAATATCTGATGTTTATTTACTGTTCATCAATAATCAGCACTGAGTTCAAATCCAATTTCAGATAATGAATTGTTATAATTATCCATAAATGTGTCTAATTATTTATTTGCGATTAATAAATACCTTTTTGGTCCATAAAATATATTAAAAAAAAATATATATATATATATAGCTAAAAATGTTTTGCATTTTAGCTAAAACAATTTAACGATTATCAAAAGGTTGCTGGTAAGTACTACTGATCGATATCAGATCTAACTGTTACCATGGTGTAATGAAACTACAGTGAAATGCACTCCAAGTTGTGTAATGACAAAGGAAAGACAGAACTGTGTTGCATTGCTCAGTTCAGACTAAATCTGACTTTCAAAATAATCATACAACTTGTGCATATCCAATAAAGCACACGTGCACAGGGTTACAAAAGATGGCCTGCAGGCTGAGATCGACCCTCCACTGGATACAAACATGACTCACGTTGGCTATTGTGTTTCACATTTTTATTACAATATATAACATGCAAACACATCCCATCATAGTTTAATGAGCTTTTGGGAAATGCATGCCAACACAGCATAGGAATGCAGATGATAACTAAAGTTGTTCTTATGCCAAACACATGCTCACAGTTTTAAATGGACTCAGATATCAGTCCAGGAGGAGGAAGTTTAATAGAAAAAAAAGCGTTTGTTGCTTCTCTGTTTCATTGTTAATAATTACAGATATATTACTGTCCTGGATCGCTGATATATAAACGTAATAAAGCTGTTCAAAGTTCTCTTTAAAGCAGAGGTTGTTGTTTTAATTCCTCTTCTCCCTCCTCGCTCTAGAGAGAGATGTGAATCTTTAATGTAAGGTGACATGATAACACAGGCCCAGCCAAGCAATATAAATAATTTACAAGCAGCTATCAGAGATTTTCAACCGCAGGACAGAGCATGTGCATTGCAAAATACGAAGGTACACTTCATACTAGGGCTGTGCAATTAATCGTATTTTAATCGCAATTACGAAAACAACATAATCGGAAAAAACTATTATTTAGCTTTGCTAGGTTGTGACCGTGCAACATATTTGATCTAATTTATTTTAGTCTAATTTATTTGTATTTATCATATTTATATATGTTTAGTAGCTTGTTGAAGTGCACTCCAAAATATTTGTTGATCTTGTTTATTGGTATTTATTATTTTGATATTATTTATTTAAATGTAAAAATAAATGTATCATTTATTTTATTTATTTTTGTATTGTTTTTTCAGTTGAATTATACGTTCAGGGTAATCAACAGTTAAAAAGATACTGTTCAAATTATTATTTGTATTTGTTTTAAAGTTCAATAAATTGATTTTTTCAAAGTCAATGAATAATCGTATTTAATAATCGTGATATCAATTATTGACCCAAATAATCGTGATTATGATTTTTGCCATAATCGCACAGCCCTACTTCAAACTTTGACTAACCAATCTGTAATCAATCAGAGTGTATGCATTGTGTCAGATCACACTACACGTAACGTTTTTCAATGGCATGTTGCATCTCACAGAACTTGATAACACAAATAATATATAGTTAGAAATGTGGGTTTTTTCACAATTTAAAACACAGAGACACCTACCAATAAACTGGTGCCAAAAATAAGCGACAGTTGAAGAGGCCCCATCATCACTTTTTGTGGTTGTTCCCTTTGCTGTAGTGTGTTTTATAGGTTTGTGTGCATGTAAATGGTCTGCAAAGTCTAAAATCCCAAAGTTCAGGAATAAAGTGACATCACTATGTAACACTCGCGCTTCTATTGGCTAGCGCTCCAACACATTGTACATTTCTAAGCGGTTAATCACAACAGAGCTGACCAGTTAACCAATCAGAGCAGACTCGGCTCTGGTTTCAGACAGAGGGTGAAAAGAGGTGCTGCAGCACAGGCAGTATGAGAACAATAAAGAGCTTTTTGAACATTAAAGCATGGAGACATGTAGAGACACTACATACTGATATACACCTGAACATCAGCAGGAGAGGACTCTTTAAAGGAGAGACACTACATACTGATATACACCTGAACATCAGCAGGAGAGGACTCTTTAAAGTAGAGACACTACATACTGATATACACCTGAACATCAGCAGGAGAGGACTCTTTAAAGTAGAGACACTACATACTGATATACACCTGAACATCAGCAGGAGAGGACTCTTTAAAGTAGAGACACTACATACTGATATACACCTGAACATCAGCAGGAGAGGACTCTTTAAAGTAGAGACACTACATACTGATATACACCTGAACATCAGCAGGAGAGGACTCTTTAAAGTAGAGACACTACATACTGATATACACCTGAACATCAGCAGGAGAGGACTCTTTAAAGTAGAGACACTACATACTGATATAAACCTGAACATCAGCAGGAGAGGACTCTTTAAAGTAGAGACACTACATACTGATATACACCTGAACATCATCAGGAGAGGACTCTTTAAAGTAGAGACACTACATACTGATATACACCTGAACATCAGCAGGAGAGGACTCTTTAAAGTAGAGACACTACATACTGATATACACCTGAACATCAGCAGGAGAGGACTCTTTAAAGTAGAGACACTACATACTGATATACACCTGAACATCAGCAGGAGAGGACTCTTTAAGGTAGAGACACTACATACTGATATACACCTGAACATCAGCAGGAGAGGACTCTTTAAAGTAGAGACACTACATACTGATATACACCTGAACATCAGCAGGAGAGAACTCTTTAAAGTAGAGACACTACATACTGATATACACCTGAACATCAGCAGGAGAGGACTCTTTAAAGTAGAGACACTACATACTGATATACACCTGAACATCAGCAGGAGAGGACTCTTTAAAGTAGAGACACTACACACTGATATACACCTGAACATCAGCAGGAGAGGACTCTTTAAAGTAGAGACACTACATACTGATATACACCTGAACATCAGCAGGAGAGGACTCTTTAAAGTAGAGACACTACATACTGATATACACCTGAACATCAGCAGGAGAGGACTCTTTAAAGTAGAGACACTACATACTGATATACACCTGAACATCAGCAGGAGAGGACTCTTTAAAGTAGAGGACACTACATACTGATATACAACCTGATCATCAGCAGGAGAGGACTCTTTAAAGTAGAGACACTACATACTGATATACACCTGAACATCAGCAGGAGAGGACTCTTTAAAGTAGAGACACTACATACTGATATACACCTGATCATCAGCAGGAGAGGACTCTTTAAAGTAGAGACACTACATACTGATATACACCTGAACATCAGCAGGAGAGGACTCTTTAAAGTAGAGACACTACATACTGATATACACCTGAACATCAGCAGGAGAGGACTCTTTAAAGTAGAGACACTACATACTGATATACACCTGAACATCAGCAGGAGAGGACTCTTTAAAGTAGAGACACTACATACTGATATACACCTGAACATCAGCAGGAGAGGACTCTTTAAAGTAGAGACTCTACATACTGATATACACCTGAACATCAGCAGGAGAGGACTCTTTAAAGTAGAGACACTACATACTGATATACACCTGAACATCAGCAGGAGAGGACTCTTTAAAGTAGAGACGCTACATACTGATATACACCTGAACATCAGCAGGAGAGGACTCTTTAAAGTAGAGACACTACATACTGATATACACCTGAACATCAGCAGGAGAGGACTCTTTAAAGTAGAGACTCTACATACTGATATACACCTGAACATCAGCAGGAGAGGACTCTTTAAAGTAGAGACTCTACATACTGATATACACCTGAACATCAGCAGGAGAGGACTCTTTAAAGTAGAGACACTACATACTGATATACACCTGAACATCAGCAGGAGAGGACTCTTTAAAGTAGAGACACTACATACTGATATACACCTGAACATCAGCAGGAGAGGACTCTTTAAAGTAGAGACTCTAAATACTGATATACGCCTGAACAAATTAAAGACGGGCCTTTCAAAACAAGCGCTCCTTTCTGAGCCACCTTCATGATCCCCTCCCTCAGGAACAGATGCACAAACAGACATGTAAACTGGCTGATTGGATAACTACAGACATAACCCCCCCCCCCCCTCTCTCTTCACAGTGGTGGTGGACATTCCTCACAGTGCTGCAAAACCTCAAACACAGCAAAGAAGGGATTTTTCAAGGGACGTCTGGAGGACACTAAGGGCAAAAGCAACACAGCGAGGAGGAAACGTGCCACTACTGGAAGTCGTTTCTCTCTCTTTCTGTTGTGGTGTTTTCTCTGCGGCTCGTTACCATTCATGAGTTATCGAGCCACAAGACAACAAAGAGCTTTCTCAGGACCACATCCTCGACCTCAAATCCTCTCGTGGTGTCGTTGGAGGACAGTATCGTTAAAGCTGACTGTATTTTTAGCAACACAAATGACAAGGCAGAGTAGAGATGGTGATATGGAGCATCAGTTACAGCGTGAGAAGATGATTTACTCACCTGGGCGTAGTCCCTCTCTACTGCGGACCTCTTTTGGCTAAAAGTCCTAAAAGAGAAGAAGGAGAGTGAATGTTAATGAGCTTGAAATCATAATTATGGATGACTGGATAAGCAATATATCGGGAAAAAAAGTGGTTACAGTACAGTACTATATACAGTTTAGATCAAAACTATGGTTCACGAAGCGCTGTGTAATATGAGGGTGAAGACAGGCATATTGTACAGTAATATTATCCACTTTTTAAAAAGTAATTTATCTGCCAAAGTACAAAGATTAGTGTGGGGGAAACTTCTGAAGCAATTGGAGTCAGGACTCAGAGAGAGACGTGGAGAGCTGGAGCTTTGATGGAGTCAGGACTCAGAGAGAGACGAGGAGAGCTGGAGCTTTGATGGAGTCAGGACTCAGAGAGACACGAGGAGAGCTGGAGCTTTGATGGAGTCAGGACTCAGAGAGAGACACGAGGAGAGCTGGAGCTTTGATGGAGTCAGGACTCAGAGAGAGACGTGGAGAGCTGGAGCTTTGATGGAGTCAGGACTCAGAGAGACACGAGGAGAGCTGGAGCTTTGATGGAGTCAGGACTCAGAGAGACACGAGGAGAGCTGGAGCTTTGATGGAGTCAGGACTCAGAGAGACACGAGGAGAGCTGGAGCTTTGATAGAGTCAGGACTCAGAGAGAGACACGAGGAGAGCTGGAGCTTTGATGGAGTCAGGACTCAGAGAGACACGAGGAGAGCTGGAGCTTTGATGGAGTCAGGACTCAGAGAGACACGAGGAGAGCTGGAGCTTTGATGGAGTCAGGACTCAGAGAGACACGAGGAGAGCTGGAGCTTTGATGGAGTCAGGACTCAGAGAGACACGAGGGGAGCTGGAGCTTTGATAGAGTCAGGACTCAGAGAGAGACACGAGGAGAGCTGGAGCTTTGATGGAGTCAGGACTCAGAGAGACACGAGGAGAGCTGGAGCTTTGATGGAGTCAGGACTCAGAGAGACACGAGGAGAGCTGGAGCTTTGATGGAGTCAGGACTCAGAGAGACACGAGGAGAGCTGGAGCTTTGATGGAGTCAGGACTCAGAGAGAGACACGAGGAGAGCTGGAGCTTTGATGGAGTCAGGACTCAGAGAGACACGAGGAGAGCTGGAGCTTTGATGGAGTCAGGACTCAGAGAGACACGAGGAGAGCTGGAGCTTTGATGGAGTCAGGACTCAGAGAGACACGAGGAGAGCTGGAGCTTTGATGGAGTCAGGACTCAGAGAGACACGATGGAGAGCTGGAGCTTTGATGGCAAACACTGACGGTTTATTTGGAGCTTCAGCCGGAGAATTCACAAGACATATCACGGGTCACAATCTGACCACACGGATGAGATGCCACAATCAATTCTGAAGAGCCCTCCTGTAGCTCCAGGTTTTAACTAGTTCAGAGTGTAATAATCAACATTCTTCATTAGACTAAACAGCTGAGGACACTGAATCACATTTGTTGTCGGTTATGGTTCGGGGTCATCTACACCCCGAGAAAGATGTGTTCCAGGTGTCCCACAACAATAACTATCTCTGACCGAGAGCTGCCCGGTCACAAACTGGTAACATCAACAATATGCTTGGGCAGCCCCTCCTTATGGGAGATAGCGGCTGCTCAAGGCTGGTCAGCTGCGTCAGAGGGCGAAGGAGGACATGCAGGGCAAATGATTCCCCAACAGTTAGGATATAAGGAGCTACTGAGTTTTGATTGATCACAGAGAGAGCTGATATAATGCACATATTGTATTCTCAGGGTAAATTGTCATATTGTATTTTCGTATGTTTAAAAATCTCGTTAACATTTTTTCTTAAACGTTTCAAAATGTATGATAGTTTCTTTAATATCTTTTGAAATAGTTGTATATTTTCTCCTTTTTTAACAACTTATGTCCTCTTACTGAGCTAACCATAAATCTGATTCTGATTAAAAATATGAAAATTGGCTCCACCATACCACGTGCAAATGATCAAATCTGCAGAGAAAATGTGAAGCATGTCTTTTTAATGCCAGCGTTTGACTCTCTCAGGCTTGATTTACAACAACAGGAACAAAGCTAATAATAAACTCAAGTTACATTTAAACAAAAGCCTAAGAAAAGAAGAGAGGGGTCAGAGCCCTGGGAACCAAATGCACTGCAGCAGAATCCTCATTAAGTCATTAAACATGTTGAGACTCGACTGCGACGCTCCACCCGAGCTCTAAACAATCCGGCTCACTTCCGGGGAGCTTCCCTCTCTTCCTTCAGCCTCCCTCTCTTCCTTCAGCTTCCCTCTCTTCCTTCAGCCTTCCTCTGTCCCTTCAGCCTCCCTCTCTTCCTTCAGCCTCCCTCTCTTCCTTCAGCCTCCCTCTCTTCCTTCAGCCTCCCTCTCTTCCTTCAGCCTCCCTCTCTTCCTTCAGCCTCCCTCTCTTCCTTCAGCCTTCCTCTCTCCCTTCAGCCTCCCTCTCTTCCTTCAGCCTCCCTCTCTTCCTTCAGCCTCCCTCTCTTCCTTCAGCCTTCCTCTCTTCCTTCAGCCTCCCTCTCTCCCTTCAGCCTCCCTCTCTTCCTTCAGCCTCCCTCTCTTCCTTCAGCCTCCCTCTCTTCCTTCAGCCTCCCTCTCTTCCACCCCCCACGCGCACTTCCTGTCATTTCCCGAAAACAGAGCCTTTGCTGACGTCCAGATGCAGTTTCCAGTTTGCTGAATCATTTCTCCTCTGAACTCGGGGAGGTGAACCCCTGCGAGTTTCGGTGCCAGAGGTGTTTCCCTTTGTGTCTGTTCAGAATTATGTAACCGTAGTCAGGGTTCATACACTTTTTCACCAATTATTTTCAATGACTTCTCCATGACCTTTACCTAATTTTCCATGACCAAAGAAATTACTCTCTCAGCGGTACCACTGAAAATGGTTTATTTGAACATGGAACAGGAAAATAAAGTCTGCATATGAAACATGTTGTGCCTATCTAAAACAAATCCAGGCTTTCTAGCTTCTACACGCAAAGCAACTAAAATCTCTCACCAGCAAAACACCTCATCAGTTAAATGCCATTTTACGTTTCATTACGATACGATACAGTATTTATTATCATTATAGTATTACTATTTTGGCGATTAGCTAAAATATAAATTATATTTGATGCAACTTTAGTTACATTTCCATGACTTTTCCAAAACTTTGGGAAAAATATTATTTTCCATAACTTTTCCAGGGCCTGGAATTTGCATTTTGAATTTCCATGACTTTTCCAGGTTTTTAATGACCGTAAGAACCCTGCATAGTACATCTACTCCTAAGGGTTTACTGTTGCTGTCTTAGTGGGTCATTATGTAATTTATTTTGAGTATCTATTTTAATTAGTATTATTATTGTTTTGTCATCTTTTTGTTTGTTTTTTTAACAGCACCTGTATTTGCACTATTTTCTCCTGTTACTTTGTTAATAAAGTGTTCTCAGTACATTTACTCAAGTACTACAGTACAGTAAATACTTAAGTAGAGTACTAGTATCTCAGAATTGTACTTAAATACATTTAAGTACAATTCTGAGATACTAGTACTCTACTTAAGTATTTCAATTATGTTTTGCTACTTCGTACTTGTACTCCACTACAATTCAGAGGTTAATAGTGTACTTTTACTCCACTACATTTATTTAATAATGTACTTTAATAACAGAGAAGAAACGCGTCGACTCAAGTGGTTTCAACAACAACAAAATCAGAAAGACAAAACAACCAAAGTGCTTTTAATCTGAATCAAATCTGAACTTTTATTTGGCCTGTTCTTCCCACAGTGTGAACCAAACTTGATATTTACTTGAATTTAAGAGTTGCCTATAATATATTATTCTGAAATGGACCAATCTAGTACTTTTACTTTTGGTACTTTAAGTATATTCTGATGCTAACACTTTTGTACTTTTACTCAAGTAACATTTTGAATACAGGGCTTTTACTTGTAACAGAGTATTCCTCCACTCCATGCACTTCTCCTCAAGTACAAGATCTGAGTACTTTTCACCTCTGTATGTGACCGAGCCTCCCACAGCGAAAGACTCGGAGCAGTGGGAACATCTGGCAGCTCTCACTGACCTTAACTTCCAGCTGTTTGGAGCTTCAGAGCTCTGCCACCAGCCACAGACAGGAAGTGGGGAGCCAGTAGGCCGTCAAGTCAACCCAACACTAAGGCTGCAAAACACAACCTTTGGCTTCTCCACCTTTAAAATGCCTACGCATCTCAGCAAAGTGCTAAAGCTGTCTGTGTATCTCTAAGAACGGTGTTTACTCTGCCTAATCCAGCACTCTTAAAGACTCTCACAATTTAATCTACGGATTTAAGATGCTGGTTTTCAACAGATCATGTCAAAACAATCCTCAAACAATCACAGGATGAGAGTAATTATTTACTTGTTCTGATATAAATCTCAACTAAGAGCTTGCAAAGAATATAATATACAATACAATTGGTGTAATTGTTGAATATTTACTTTCAATTATTTGCCCTAGACTTCTGCTTTCAGACGTAGTTATTTAGGAAGATATTACCAGAACTGATCATAATCCAATGCAGGGCCAACAATGTAATATAATACATTATTTAATATATATTATATATTTACATATGTATATTTTATATATAATTTAAATTACAACCGGCCCTTTGAGTGCAACCATAATGCTGATGTGGCCCGGGATGAAATTGAGTTTGACACCCCTGGTCTACGTCTTTCAATTAGACGTATGGATAAACCAATCTAACCCTTTCATTAAATGACATAGGATGTTTCACCGTAAAGGCGGAAACAAGCAGATTGGCATTACTATATTCGATAAACACATTAAAATAATCCCAATTGCAGATTTTCGGAGTATCAGTGAGAGGTCACGGTCACATTTTCCCAAAATACACATTTTCTTCCAATACTGAAGCAGATTTCCGATCTGAACTTTTACGCAAATATAGTTTCGGTCTACATTCACGCATGTGTGTCTGTGCACTAACAAAGAGTCCTAAAGAGTGCTGCATTATGTAGACCCTCCAGAAAAACGCGATTATGCGATCGCATAATTTACCGCATAATCAGCAAAATAGTGCATATTTCTTAAAAGGTCGCATAATCCCCACATTTTTCCACACAAAATTGAGGAAAAAAAAAGTTAACGTGAAGTAGTGATGTCATCAGCTCGCGCAGGTAAACAACACCGTAGAGTGAATGTGTGGAACTCACACGAGAGAGAAAAGCAACAAGATCAGCGCCATATAGATTATTATATACTATTATACTATTATTATTATATACTATTATAATTATACTATTATACGGCTCTGACCAAGATGAACAAATCGAATCCATCCCATTTGCCTACGAACATTTCTGCTAAAGACCGGGCAAAGCAGTACGCAGATGTCTTGCACGAAAGTGGGGGGAAACTATTCTGCACCCCGTGCAACTGTGTGTTGGAACATACAAGATTGAAGCTGGTCAGATAACGAACGGGTAAATGAAAACAGAATGAGGCGGAGGTGTGTGTGTGTGTGTGTGTGTGTGTGTGTGTGTGTGTGTGTGTGTGTGTGTGTGTGTGTGTGTGTGTGTGTGTGTATCATAGGAACTCTTTAAAAGGGCTTCCTTTCATTCAGTAGTAGCCTAGTAACAGGGTGTGGGAGAAGAATCACCTTTTTTCCGCCTCCCGCATATTTCGCAACTTTTCGCATATTTCCGCATATTTCGCAACTTCTCCGCATAAAAACCCTGCATGTTTAATCGCATAATCAAGGATTTTAGCCCGCGTTTTTCTGGAGGGTCTAATTATGGGTTGTTTGAGCAAGTTTCTTCAAGTTTGTTTTCCAGCTAATTCCCATCTTTCCTTTGCTAGAGTTCAACTTTGGTGAACTTTCAGGCAAATATGGCCTCTGCAAGCGATGGCAACTAACCTGCATGTGTGACCACTATCACAGGCTCCTAAACAGTGTGGCACTGAGTTGTTTAAGCCATGGTGTTTGTCTTCTAGTTCAAGGCAGCTCTAAGGTTTAAAGTAAGTTCACTTTAAGCTAAAGGTATTTCTAATGGCTAATTTGATGCATTTGCAGCTTCATTTTCTAGCAATGAAAACGTATTAGTGGCAATAATTCGGATCCTTGCCACGATTGGAAATAAAAGTTACAATCGGTTGAAAGAATGTCTCGTGCAGCTCCGATCATTTAGGTTCTGCTCTAACAAAAAATGGTGGCACTGACGTGTCATGTATCAGTTGAACAAGAAGACCGGCTTAAATGATTGGGACTAAGGGTGTAATGGTTCTGAAACGGAGATGAAACTTGGACATGAGAGCATGAACCGCTTCATGCTAATTTCTTTACGAGGCAGGGCTCTCAGTACAGCTGCTAATAAAACTGAGATTGCAGTTCCTAATTCAGGCGAAGCTGAATTATAAAACCTCCGTGTTATATAGCATTATGCTATTTGATTACATAAAAGCCAAACTACACAAACAAATCTACTGGGAAAGGTATCTGCTTCCAAAAAACATCTGTATATGTGTAGAAACGGCCTCATATTCAGGGTGGCCTTATAAATCATACGGATATTAAAAACAAAAAGGTATAAATGTGGTATTAAACGGTCGACTGCTCACCTCAGGTCTTCCAGGAGGTCACACTCTGTCTGGTGTTTGATTTGTAATCTGCTCATCTGCTCTGCATGAGTGTGTTTCAGCTCCTGGGTGACCCGGACCTGCAGGGGAACACAGACAAAGTATTTATTTAAAGTTATCTGGACTGGTTTCTTCAGCTCGTACAGAAAGACAAAGATATTTCTCCGTGTTGTGTTTGACTATTGATTCCCAGATGTTTACCAACACCTTAAGAGGCGAGTGTTGAATCAGCTGTTCTAGCAAAAGGTGTTAATGAAAATGAGCCGCTCTAATTATCAGGCAGACACTCCGGACAGGTGAGAGTTGGTCTCACTGGGTTTCTAATTGGCTGTTAGATTAATTAGGAACGTACTGTGACCAGAGGCCTGTACTACGAAGCTGGTTCAACCTAACCTGGATATGTTTGGGTTAGCCGGTTGGCCCAATCCAAAACATACGCGCTCTGGCTAAGCTGTACTACGACGCTGGTTATCAAGTGGATCGCTCAAGCCAGCCGTGTCCTATCTAGTTAGGTGCACGTTCACATGAAAGGGGTGGTATTTGGAGCATTCGACCAATCTCAAACACGGACAAGCGTACTGACAGCGCAGCGTCATACTTCCTGAATGAAAAGTGAACTTTAATATTAGTCAAATATGAAGAAGTTAAACTTTAAACATCCATGACTTAAACACTTTATCCAGGATCAAAGCCACATAGCTGCACCTGCAAGGTGAATACAGCTGGTAAAAGAAAAAGTGTTTGAATGCGTACATTAACAGGTTTATGATATCACTGCCCCGTCTAAGACACGATCTGACTTTAATTACATTTGACTCCAGTGTTTCGTCAACTTAATGTGTTGCTTAAAATAATACTTCTGCATACAGTATGTGACACTGTGAGTGTTGCACGGCCAGATACGGCTCAGCTGACTCAGATAAGGAAATATATGATACATTATGATGTGATATGATATGAATGATAATGGGACACATCGACGTCTGCACTCACAGTGCTGTACTTAATGTTACTCTGATCCGGTTACTTATGTCGTGGCAGATATTTAAGTAAGCTTTCTTAACGCTAATGTTATAATAGTCAGATTGCTCTGAAGATGGGAGGGGATATTCTATTCATTTTCACGTTCACACAGTCAGTTGATTTTTGCCGGCCGTCTTTCCTGCAACGGCAGTTTTTCTGTATTTCCTCTATCCTGTAATATGACTTGATCGCTTTAAACTCCGCACACTGAGCTCTGATTGTCAGCAGGCGGTGCTTTCACTGAGTTGATCTCTTAGCCTGCCACCTAACCTGCTCCGGAGCAGGTTAGCCGCTCAGCATAAGTTACCATGGAGATCTAGCCCGCTAAAAAGAGAACCAGCGTCGTAGGACCGGAAAGCCCGAGTTTTCCCTGAAGTCAGCTAAGAGAACATCCGGCTTCGTAGTACAGGCCTCTGGTCTCATTAGTCATAACTGGGAGTGTTGTTAACTTACTTATTTATTTTCATTATGAGCCAGATTTATGTTCAATAATTGCAACTAAAATACGAGTTTTCAACAAAAACACACAATATAAGGTTTGTCTTCACCACATAAGATAGTGAACTTTAAAAGGTAGTACTGCTCAATTAGTAAACATTTGATTGCAATCATGATTTTGTCTTTCCACAATGAAATGATCATGATCACATGCGATATAAAAGGAAAAAATAAATGCTCTGCTCACAGAAAAAGCAAATTATTATAGCCTCTTAATTTTGATCTAAAAGTGCATTGAATTTGAAAAATGTAGGCTTTAAATATAGGTTGAATACATAATGCAATGTCAATTTTTTCTTATGTTCTGCATCCTTCATTAACAGGATTGTATCACAACATGGAAGAGAAAGCAGTGATTTGTTTATTTAAATGTGAAAGAGTTGTGCACGTAGCTAAAACCAACGAAAAATGTAGATGAATAATCACAATCTCAATATGGATCAAAATAATCATGATTATCATTTTACTCATAATCGTGCAGCTCTACTTAAAGGTCCCATATGACGCTCCTTTCTAAGACTATTATCTATTAGAACGAGTTAAAACCACTCTTTATTTCTCTCATTCGGCCTGTCTGAATATAACCGTCTGAGTTATAGCGCGTTTCAACGTAATTGCAAAGCCATGCAACAGCTTGGGTTCCTTATTACTTCCTGTCAGCAGTTTTCATTCACATACCATGCAACTGGGACACAGCTCTCAATTAGTCAGTGGAAATTAAATTAATTGTCAACTATTGTGCCAACTAATGAAGCGGGAGGATTTGTGCCGTTTTGAGATGGATATTTTTAGGTTTTAAACAAAACGGGCAATTTAAAATGTCCCTTTCGGCATAATTTCCCACAGCAAACAACCAAAGGGAGTCTTTGGATATAATTTATAATATATAATGAAATCAATGATAGTTGCAATGATAGTTATCAGATTGTGTTTCTTCTAAACACAAAATGTAACAGCTTAATGACATTGGGATGATTTCAATATCTTCACGTTTGCAGTTCAAAAGCTATTTCAGTATGTTCCTCTTCAATATTTCATTTCTGTGGCTTTATAGTCAGTTTTAACACAGCTACACTTCCTCTTAATTATGAATCTAGGTAGTGAAAGTAAAGATCTGGCTTTAAGATTGGCCATGAGGTGAATGGGAATGTGCAGTGACCTTTTTTCGGTTCCTTATTTCAATTATGAGAAAGTAAAGTTAAATAAATGCCAAGTGGATGTTATCAGCTATCCTCATCTGTCAATTTGTCAGCGAAGTCAGACCGCTTTTAACTATATGATATTCTCAAGAAAACTATACATTTCATAAAATAAATTACTCCATAAATCATTGAGGGCTATCATAATATCCAAATAAGAAGACATTCAGATCCATAAAGTCAGTCTGCATATAATTTACATGAAACCATAGTTGCATATATTTGTTCCAGCTAACAGCAGTACTGGGGTATAACGGGTGAATGTTCTGTGCTGCTGAGCCATGTTATTGAAATATGATCCCAAAGGGGAAAAAATTCTCACAGAAACCAAACTTTTTTTTTGCTGGGATTTCTACGTTTATTTCCTAAATAAAGACACTACTTCACTCGCTGTTCTAAGATGGAATAATAATATGTGAAAGCAGTGATTGTCCTGCAAAACTTCCCTTGTACGAGGATTAAAGTACATTCAAAGACAGAGCAGAAACGAGTCTACTCAAGTTGTTTTAACTCCGAAATCTGCGATAGATGGATAGAGAGATAGATAGATAGATAGATGGATGGAGAGATAGATAGATAGATAAAAGTAACATGTAATATGTGAGGTAATGAAAGTAGGTTGCAGTGTGTACAGTATGTGCAAATTGTTCATGATTATAGAAAGAACCTAAACAAACAAATACACACAACTCCAACTACTTTTGATAACATCTTAACTTGTATTTTGCATGCTTTTGCCATAATCTTGCTCCACAGTGTGAAACAAACTTGATATGTACTTGAACTTAAGAGATACCTGCTGTATCTTTGGTAACACGACTCCTGGGTCACGTTATTTCACAAGATATCTGAGCTTGTTTACTAAGTGGATATTGATAAACTGTTTACATATTCACATTATTAATGTACTTTAGAAGGACCGTTCATCTCCATTCGAGAGGGAACCTTCACCAGCTTTGGTACCACTTGAATGCATCAATAATTACAATCAAAACATATAATAAATATTATTCAGAAATGTGCAGAATGAGTACTTTTGGTACTTGAAGTATATTTTGATGCTAACTTTTGTATTTATACTTGAGTAACTATTTGAATGCAGGACTTTTACTTGTAACAGAGTATTCATACACTCTTTTAGTTCTACTTTTACTTAAGTACAAGATCTGAGTACTTCTTCCACCTCTGGTACTTAGTTACTTTACAGCACTGCATATATTTCTACTTGAATAAAGGAGAAAAAAATTGTGGCACATGGGACTTTTTTTTTTTCTTCCACCGTTGCTATTTAAAGTAACAGCAGAAATCAAACTTTCCACACTACAACAAACTAGTGAACCTTTTTTCGAATAGAACAAAAGTGAATGTGTAGTTTGAAGCAGCAGAACAACAACAACAACAACAACAACAACGCCTGTATTTTTTTTTCCAATCATTAAAAATGAACCACTATTTCTCCTCCGTCGTTTCCAGACGTTAGCTTCCAACGGCTACAACGGCAAAACTCACCTTTCTCGGTGGGGGTTGCATCCTTCTTCTTTCTGGACATAAAAACTACACAAAAGACGAAAGTTTGTCCGGGAAAAGTTTCTGTAAATGTTTGTTGAAGAAATTATAACGGGACCTAGGGTATTTCTGCCTGGGTCAAGCGGCCATGGCGATTCCAGTAAGTAGTTATTTGAGTCCCGTTGAAAACACTGTGTGGCCCCAGGGAACAGAAAACACAACGGTTAAGCTAGACAAAATATAGCGACGCACTTCCTGTCAGGTTTTCAAAATAAAACAACCAAACCACTCTCGTGTACATAATTTTCAAAATAAAAGCAGACCATCGACACATTAACTTAGTGAATTTCTTTTTTTTTAATTAGTTATTTAAAAATATTTCACTGTATGGTGGGATGAGGTTGGACATGGGGGATTACTTTATAGGTTTGATAAGTGTTGTTTGTCTAGTAGCGACGCGTGCATGGCCGTGGGAAGTAGGGGTGCTGAGGGTGCTGCAGCACCACCTGATGGAGGACAGGGAATCTGCACGTCCACAAGATTAAATGGAAATATAATAGAAATATAATACAAAAAAAACTCATTTTCGGCCTTGATGTTCACATTCATAATTAAGTAAAGATAACACCCTTTTCACCCCGGTTACATTTTCCATTTGCCCCGAGAGACTCAGTGAGGTAAAGGACGCTGAGTGTTTAGATAGTTCACTTTAGTCTAAATTATCTCAGTGTGTCTCAAACGGTTTGGTCACAACAAATATTTCCAAGGCACACCTTTATAATTATTAGGATAAATAAAAACAGGTTTGAAATCATTCCAATGTATACTATAGGACAGTAAACCAAAAATATCCTTTAAAACTGGAGAGATTAAAAAATATGGATAAATAAATAAATGTTATGGTAAAATAAGATATAAATGAACAAAAATAAAGTACCTTACATTTATTTGTTATTGGCTATGGTAGGTTATTGGTTATGTTCACATATACTGATTTGATTATTAAAATGTAAACCGATCTTTTTCATATGGGTGTTTTAGAGTTGTACCCCCTAGATCAGGTCTCTAGTAATTCTGCTCAAAGTGCACCAGATTGAAGCATTTTACTTTAAAATGTTAAAAATAAATGTTGTTGACACAATACTAAATACATTTGAAGCCTTTGTATATAAGCTGTCACCAAGTCAATACGTTTCGATCTTTATCTTTTCTACTGTACGTTTCTCAGGCTGCGCCAGCAAAAGTCTTGCCTAGTGCAACAAATTGGTCAGAACCGGCCCTGGTGTCATCCCCCAGCACCCCCCATTTGAAACATGTTCCCACGGCTATGGTAGCGTGGCGTGGGAAAATTAGGGGAAGCCAGGGGTCGGGGCGGGGGTAGGGTGTGGTTAATGTAATAACGTAACCAGATGAGTGATTACAGCGCCCGGTATCATTTTACACACATTTGTATCATACAGATGCAGGCAGTGGCGGTTCTAGAGTATTTTACATGGGGTGGCAAAGAGGGGGCAAGAGGTCATTCCAGTGTGGCATGGGAGGGCGGACAGTACGTGGTATTTTATACTCAGGGTTGGGTTGAAACGGAATACATGTAACGGCGTAATCAGAATGCAAAAATCAAGTAACTGTATTCAGCTCGCGTTACATTTGAAAAAAAAGAGTAATCTGATTAGTTACTTTCGTAAACCTGAAGCGAATACATTTGATTACTTATTGGAATTATTGGTGGAAAGGTTTCCTCACAACATTTAATATTCATTACTAAAAAGGTACAGCCGAATCATCACAGCGCACAAAACCTATGCCGCCGCAGATGGACCAAAAAAGGGAGCGTTTGAAAAAATGTCGCGGGTCCGCTCAGTGAAACAATAACAACGAAATGGAGGAACAAAAGTCTGCGTTTAAATCGTGTGTGTGTGTGCGTGTGTGTAGAGGATCAAAGACACATCAGCCTGCGGTCGCTCTTTAGCCTTTCTAATGATTCTGAAGGTAAGCACAGTGAAGGCGGTGTGTTAGGGTTGGGCAAAGGTAGGACCCAAATGCAGACTTCAAAAAGGAAAAAGGTCTATAAACAAAAGGCGAGCTTTATTCCAAAGCCGATGAGCACAAAAACAAGGCATGACAAAACATAGATAGCACAAGGTAGCGAATACAAACAAAACTGACCGTGACTAACATGGAGGGAGACAGGAAAAACAATGAACCGACAAGGCACACAGGGGAAGACAAGACTAAATACAGAGAGGGGTAATCACAAGACAAGACACAGCTGGGGTAAGGGAGGCAGAAACACAAGGGCAACAGGTGAACACAATCAGACACACCAGGGAAACTAACGACAGGAAGGCAAACACAGGAAGAAGGATCAGACACAAGGAGGCAGGACCCCCGGCAGAAGAGTAGTCGGCGGGACCTCCAACGGCACAGGACATAGGGTTGGCAGGACCCCCGGCAGAACAGTAGTCGGCGGGACCTCCAACGGCACAGGAAAAAGGGTTGGCAGGACCCCCGGCAGAAGAGTAGTCGGCGGGACCTCCAACGGCACAGGACATAGGGTTGGCAGGACCCCCGGCAGAACAGTAGTCGGCGGGACCTCCAACGGCACAGGACATAGGGTTGGCAGGACCCCCGGCAGAAGAGTAGTTGGCGGGACCCCGCAGTGCTGGGGCCAGAACTGGGGCTGAAACCATGGCTGCTGGGGCACGGGCTGGAATCCTGGCCCTGCGTCTCTTATGGCGCGTTTCCACTACAGCGCGGAGCACGGTTTAAGAGAGCTGTGACGTCAGCGGCCCGTCTTTGGTTGCGTTTCCACTTGGCCTAGTACCGGCCAGCGGGTCCTAATTCCCCTTATAACACGTGTTATCACTCATATCATGTAAAATATCTGTAAATGTGCATAATTATTTACTAATGCCAACAATTTCCCAATTTGGGATCAATAAAGTACGATCTATCTAATGCCAAATAAAATGTGACAAAGACAACTATATTACTCATGAAATATTTATTAACGAAATATTTCAGAAATTAATTTGAAACTTTATCAAATTAGGCTTCATCAAAGCAGCAACACACTCATTTAAACCAGACAGGTCACAAAATAAAAAATTGTGGAGGATCAGGCTTTGGTGGTCGGCTCCCATCTCGGCGCACAGCTGGGAGAAGAGGCGAGATTTCAGGGGCCTTGATTTGATGTAATTCACCATCTGCACAGCCTGATTCAGCACCTCAGTCAACTCCGGGGGCATGGTTTTGGCAACTAATGCCTCTCTATGCAAAATGCAGTGGTTTGTCACGATATGTGGGTTTTGTGCTCTCACCTTAGCAATAAATCCTTTCACTCTCCCCGTCATGCTTGCCGACTGACGCACATATTCCAGGTCAGACTGTTCTCTTTTAAATAGTTATTAGTTACCCTGAATATTTCTTCTCCCGTAGTATGGCTTTCCATTTCTTTGCAAAAGAAAAACGTCTCTTTGATAGAGTCAGCATCAACATATCTGACGTTTGCCAGAAGTTGGGCAGCCCCACTTATGTCAGTAGATTCGTCTATTTGTAGGGAAAACCTGCCGCTCGCCTGCAGTTTCTCTGTCAAATGTTGCTCAATGTCTTCTGACATGTCGTCGATTCTTCTTTTGATGGTATTATCAGACGACGGCACTTTGGATAGCTCATTTGCGGCATCTGGACCCAGCATGACACCTACAATTTTTTTGCAAGCGGGGAAGATGAGTGTCTCCGCTATTGTGTGAAGTTTCTTCTGCTTTGCAATGAGCTCCGCTAGCATGTAACTAGCCTCCATTGCCTTTTCAGACACTTTCATACAATCCAACAAACGGTCTTACTGCCTCTGGTTCAGATCCCGCGCTCTTTTGAAGTAGGCCAAGTTTCTCTGAACATGGAAGGGATGTTTGGTTTCCAAGTGCCTCTTCAGCTTGCTTGGAACCATGTTCGCATTGGCTAACTTCTCCCGACAGACGACGCACTCGGGCTGAGGATTGTTGCCATCCCCGGTCCAACTGAAGCCATAAGACAGGTAACTTGATGATACTGTCTGCTGACAGTTTTTTTCCTCTTTTCTTTCGGTGGTGGGTTGTCGGCAGTCTGCACTGGTGGTTGGTGGTTTGCTCCGCACAAGAAAGCGCTCCATTTTCCCTCTTGCGTGTTTCTCTGTTTTAATGTTGTCCTTCAGCCTTCGATGTGTCACGGTCTTATAATTCCCACCTGCAACTGCGTTAACAGCGAAATATGGGGTTCTGTGAGGATTTTATTTTAAAGAATTGTTTTTAGGTATAGAGTTTGGCTCTGTATTATGAAATGAGTGCATACAAAGTACTGATATAGTAAATTAAAAAATAATTATTTTTGTGTAGTTGTATATTGCAATAATAACGTATGGTTGTCACAAAATCCCACGGCACACCCGGACTTGCCTCACGGCACACCGTTTGGGAACCACTACTCTAGAGAGTACCCAAGACGTTCCGCCTGTAGAATAAAAAAAATCTGAATCTGCTGAGTCCAAAGCTGGTCGGTTCATTCTGTTAGGGTTGGGCAAAGGTAGGACCCAAATGCAGACTTCAAAAAGGAAAAAGGTCTATAAACAAAAGGCGAGCTTTATTCCAAAGCCGATGAGCACAAAAACAAGGCATGACAAAACATAGATAGCACAAGGTAGCAAAACTGACCGTGACTGACATGGAGGGAGACAGGAAAAACAATGAACCGACCAGGCACACAGGGGAAGACAAGACTAAATACAGAGAGGGGTAATCACAAGACAAGACACAGCTGGGGTAAGGGAGGCAGAAACACAAGGGCAACAGGTGAACACAATCAGACAATCAGACACACCAGGGAAACTAACGACAGGAAGGCAAACACAGGAAGAAGGATCAGACAAGACGCAAGGAGGAAAACATTTCAAAATAAAAGGTGAAAAATGAAAACAATCCAAAACCGTGACACGGTGCGTGAAAGGCACTGCACGCTCCTCTTCTCAGAGGCTGAGTTAACCCTCCCGCTGCCTCCTGGTGCTACAGAGATTTCATGAAGTGAAGGAGGTTTTCCTTCTATAAAACAGCTGTGGGCAGCAGATACTGTGAGTGTCACGGACATGAATTCCTAGATCAAGGCAGACTGGTGCACACACTCTCCTGTTTTGCCAATCCGGTGCTTAAACAAATATAGCTCTACACCCCTGGCCGAAATGTCCTTAAAATGAAGTCCGAGTTCGACATTTTAATTCATGTCCTGCCAACACTGGCACTGTGCTTTTCACTTCGAAAGTCATCACATAACGGCATTGTAATACACAGTACGGCTGCATTAAATATTACATATCTGCCGTAGTTCACTATTTATAGAGCCCTGCTGAGAAGACTTCTAGAGAAACAGGAAGAACTTCCGCCGAAACTGAATATGTGACGTGGATCTTAAATATATAAGCAATTAAACAACATCTTACATTTCTTTTCACACAATACGTCTCCTTGCAGTATCAACACTAATTCGGCTGACTTTTATATTTGATCCAATTGGTAGATAGGCTGTATTTACGCCATAACGAATTTAAGGCAAGAAATCAGGTAGCGGCAGGGTTTGAATCATTTCTATTTTGGTGGGCTACAATTAACAAGAATGTTGACTGGATAAATTATCTGTTCTACAATCAGATGAGGTTCATAAATTACACACGAGATGCAATTGAGGGACTTCACGGACAACTGGATAAGACAAGTTTGATGGCTTGGCAGAATAGAATGGCACTTGACATGTTGCTGGCGGAGAAGGGAGGGGTGTGTAAAATGTTTGGGTCTTCATGTTGCACTTTTATCCCGAATAACACTGCCCCAGACGGAACTGTGACCAGAGCTTTAACCTGTTAAGCCCCAAAGCCCCCGTCGGCTAATTAATTTTTTAATTTTTTATAAATTTTTTTAATTTAAATTTTTTTCTTTGGATGGAATGAATACCTATGGTGATAATTCAATGTAATACATTATTTTTATAGTCTGGTACTTTAAAAAGGTAAAATGGCACTGATGGAACCAGATGTACCCAAATGTGCCGAAAGCTTATTCCGCCTGGAACCTTTTTTTCTAAATCTCTCTAAAAAGGTCAAATTTAACTTGTTTTGCCTCAATCTTGATACAGGGTACTTATTATATGTTATAGTTTGGATTCCTAAAGCTTTTAGTCTACCATCTGAAGTAAAAAGATATGATTCTACACTGTATTGAAGTAAACATGTATTATTTTGAATTGTATTTTAGTGAACATGTATTGTTTGAACTGTTTTAAGTAATCACAACGGTTTTGGGTAATCACATATATAGAAATGATATTCTCACTTTCAACTCACTGACCCAGAGATCCTGTTTCACACACACACCGCTCCTTTTCACCCCCACACACAGATGTTCTTTTGAAGGTCGTTATGGACATCACCAATATGTGCACAAAGGTTTAAATGTCTGAGAAGGAATAGTTTATGTGAAAAACTCCTATGGGATAGTAATGGAGTGAAGATCGGGGCAGAGATAAGGATTGACTTTTGACCTTGTGAAACTTTGGAATCTCACGTTCTGGTCAGAACTATTGAACCCGACCAGAAGTGAATCCAGCCAGTAAGGACACCTGGGGGATGTGAGCAGCTCACACAGCTCCTCCTCACGGACTCTCTAATTCGCTTTGGAGTAAAAGGGGGAGGGAAAAGTCAACACATCTCCGCCCCAAAATATGATTATGAATACTGTTGTTTTTGTATGTAAAATGCTTTTTGGTTTGGTGAGTTGGCAGGTCCCGATATCTGTGTCCGCATCGCATCACAAACCTGAAGTCAATTTATTTTTGTTTGATGAGTTGGCGGGTCCCGACACCTTTATCCGCATCGCATCACAAACCTGAAGTCCGGAGTACTCTGTATAACTTGTATACGTGTTCTATTTCCTACCAGTAAACTCAGATAATTGTTATAACTTTTGATTCCGGTGTTTTCAATTCCTTTCTTATTTAATAGAGACCAGCCTCATTCAACAAACGGCGCGGAGAGGGGGCTATCAGCCACCAGATAGGTGTTCTGCTCCAACACATCCCATCATTCAAGGGTGGTTTTCACTATAAGTAATGTTTTTTCTTTAGGCGGAGGTAAGAATTTACCTTTTTTTACTATGTTCCATCTGAATTTACTCTGACTGAGAAACATCTATATTGATTCTGACACTTCTACATCCATCTCACAGATGTAACCTTGCTTTGATAAAAGAAATTATTCATATAACCCTTTTAGAAGTGAAGTTGTAGTCATTTGTTTTGGGCATGTCATTTTCGAGCCTGAAACCTGAAAAACAGGCTCGGGGCTTAACAGGTTAAAGAGTTTAACTTCCCTTTCAGTAGAGTTGGCCGAGAATTCAGGATTTGAGGATCCTTTCAGCAAAATATTGGGATCTTGGTTTGGGAAGTGGAAGAATTTAGCTTTGTCTTTGTTCACCTCGTTGATGATTGCTGTGGCAATACTCACAGTATGTGGATGCTGCTCCATACCCTGTCTGAGAGGGCTAATGATGAGACTGATCCAAACTTCCCTGACCAAACAGAACCTAATGCTTATGAATCACCAGAGCTCAGCTCGCGAGTATTACCAGGAGATAGGGCCGGATGGCAATTTCCATGACGATTACTTATTCCTCACCTCCTTGTTTGATCAGGAAGTTCCTGGTTCAGACGGAAAGGAAGACACTGGGCTGTAATAACACAATGACTCACATGTAGAAAATCGAGAGAAGATACATAGTGATGATGATGGAGGCCATTCCTAGTTAAAGGGGACCTATCATGCAAAATGCACTTTTGTACGTCTTTTATACATGAATATGTGTCCCCGGTGTTCCAGGGAACTCACCAAATGTCAGAAAACACAACCCTCTCTATTTTCCTCCATACCCAAATCTCTAAAAAAGGGGCTGCAACGGATCTGATAAAAACTGATCCAGATTTGAACACTGTCCTGACGTCAGGACGGTGGCGCTACGGCTATTGGGCCAACTCCACCAATCAGGAGGAGACAACCACGGCCATTGCCGTTCGAAAGCGCTGGAGACGCTGTAGTATATATGCCAGGCCTGTAGGTGGTGCTGTTCTCACTGAATCTGCCCAGAGCTAGAAATTGTCAAATTGAGCAAAATGAGGCATGGCTAAAATGCATGATCTGTTTGGTATTTTGAAAAAAAAAAAGTATAAATATGCCTTATATAGGTATGGTCCTACACTATATTATTCAAATATAGCATGATAGGTCCACTTTAAATAAAGACAGTGTTTTGTGTGAGTGATTTTATATCCTTTTATGCTTATACATTTAATCATGGTGTGCAAATTATACCTTATACATTTAATCATGGTGTGAGAAATGTTTAGAATAAATCCATTTCTATTCAATTATAAATGTGAAGTATGAACTACTGGCGTGATTTGCCTCAATGTTTTGATTATTATTCAAACATGTGCCTATACAATCTACCTACCTCAGCCGTTTGGGTACTTTTGTTTATGAGTTTTTAAGCTTTATAATCATTTGTATTTTCCAAGTTCTATGTTATTCCGAAGTATAAACAGGAGGGATATGTTGGAGAAATACTGTTGTCTCCACTTTTAGGGTTTGTTTTAATGCACTGATATCATGTGTGTGACTCTGAACTGTGTACGACATTGCAGCTGCCTCTTTATGATAGGAGGATGCAGGGCATTTCAGGTTGTTGATCTTTATCAGGAGACAGGCACATACTTGTTGTCTCCTACAGGTTGTAGATCTTTATCAGGAGACAGGCACATACTTGTTGTCTCCTACACTCTCTCTTGTCCTTTCTCTTTTGAGCGCCGCTCTTGTGCTTTGGTTTGCTGTACATTATAAATGCATTTGAATTGGGAGGTGGACATCACCTCCTCTAGGGGGGTCCGGGGGTATGCCCCCCCGGGAAGAAATGTTTGAACATTTTAAAGTAAAATGCTTCAATCTGGTGCACTTTGAGCACACAATTACTAGAGACTAGATCTAGGGGGTACAACTCTAAAACACTCATATGAAAAAGATCGGTTTGCATTTTAATAATCAAATAAGTATGTGAACATTTCCAATAACCTACCATTGCCAATAACAAATACATGTAACTTATTTTATTTTTGTTGTTAATTCATATCTTATTTAACATTTATTTAGTAATGCACATTTTTATTTCTCCAGTTTTAAACAATATTTTTGGTTACTTTCCTATAGTGTACATTGAAATGATTTCAAACCTGTTTATCCCAATAATTATAAAAGAGTGCCTTGGAAATATGTGTTTACATAAATTGTGATCAAAACGTTTGAGACCCACTGAGATAACTCACTACACACAACACAGAACCAACTTTTGTGTTATGATGTTAGCATAAGCACACATATTGTATAAATAAGCATGTAAACACCGTGGACCTAACATCCTCTAGGCCGGGTCCAGGGGCATGTTCCCCCGGGAAGATTTTTAGACTAGACTAGAACCTGATTATTGATTCTCAACCTGGTGTCGAGTGATATTTTCCTAACAACAGTCATTTGTGGTTTGGAAAATGGAGCAGTATATTCTTTACAATGGTTTGACATTATTTTTAAATGTTTCCAAGTGAAGCGTTGAAGTGTTACTGTGCAGGCACCTCCAAGACGTGTCCAGGCCCTGTTGAGACTTGCTACGGTTTGAATCAAGTCTGTGGCAGCATCACTCTTAACCCTGGAGCCCGTAAGTAAAGGCTTCATTGACGCTGGATTGATTCATTTGCTCAACAAGTCCTAAACTTGCAGCCTGGCAGCACAGATCAGAAGAATCAACAACGCAGTGGGACAATACAAGGTTAGATATCTTTGAGTTCTCTTTTCAAATGTGCATTTATTGAAATGCTTCAACTTAAAAGTAGCTTTTAATTTGTCACACTTTTCACCTTCTCTTTTTTCCATATACAGATTTGTGTACAGACTGGTGAAAACATGAACACTGTGATTCTCGCTCTCCTGGTGTTGGTGTTGGTGGTGGGCAGCCAGGGTGAGTTCAGTGTTCAGGAAACACAAAAAACCTTCAGTATATTCAATTCAAAATGCTTTGTTGACATTACATTACATTACATTACATTACATTACATTACATTACATTTAGCTGACGCTTTTATCCAAAGTGACTTACAATAAGTGCATTCGCCCAAAAAGAAACAAACTTGAAGAAAACAGAATCATATAAGTACATTAGGTTTCATAGAGCCAAAACATTTTAAGTGCTACTCAACTGGCTTTAGATAAGCCATTCCTTAGTTAGTATATAAGTGCTTTGTTAGTATATAAGTGCTTTTTAAAATTGTTTTATTGAAGTGGAGTCGAAAGATAAAAGCGTCTAACAAGTAACATGTAATGTAATGTAATGTGTTTCAGTATGAATTGACGCTGTTTGGCATCACAACGCTGTTATTAAAGTTTCTCTGGTATAAAATGGGTGATGTTAGCATAGCAACCGAAGCTAAACTGAATATCTTGACTACTTGTTGTTGCTATCCTATTGTGGCATAAGCCGTATTCTACAGGCACATTTTACCGGCGTATTCTACTTGTGATAGTCGGACATGACAACCTGTGCAGCCCATGTATTGATTCCATCCGATAGCTGCTATAATAACAAACAAAACGTCTGCCTGCTCTCCACAATGATCAATAACAGCGAACGGATGGTCAAAGTAAGGTACAAATAAACAGAATCACACGAAGCCTGGTTAGTGTTGCCTGACTTTATAAAGCGTGTTTTTTTTTTACAAGTGTGTGGTTGCGTTCTAGTCACTTTGCTCAGCGCTTCTGCTTGTTACAACTTTTATTTGCCGTACTCGCCTTTAACTGTTAGCTCAGGTTAATCTCACCCCCCTCCGACGTAAGCGTGACGTATGCGGTTCTTGCTTCCAGACCGACAATTTTTTGGTGCTTGAAGCGAACCGGATTCCGGAGCTTAGAGGCGGCTCCGCTGCGGTGTGAACAGGAAAAAACTGTGCTTTTCAAGCTCCAGCTCCGAACCGGCCCTGGAACCGCGTTGGTGTGAAAGCCCCATATGAAACGTCAAGCTACCCCACAGCACCCCCAAAAGAAAATCTCTGGCGCCGCCACTGATACCGGTTAATAAAAACCATGAATTAATGCTTTGACAAGTGTGCAGACAAGACGGCAGGTGAAAAACCTTTTAAAGGGCCCATGTCATGGCCATTTCCACTGATCATAATTACATTGTTGAGGTATACTAAAATAGATTTATACTGTGCAATTTTCCAAACTCACATTGGTTTCGCATACAGCATCTCTGTCAAGCATGTGTATTCAGCAGTATTCACTTTCTCCACTAAACGACTCGTTGGAGCTCGTGCCCCCCCCCTCCCTGTGAGCCTAGTGTGCTCCGATTGGTCAGCTCGGCCACTCGTTCTGATTAGTCAACCACCAGAGAGGCTGCGCCCATGTCAGTGCTTTTCCCGGCTGCTCTCAGCGTAACATCAGTCTTATCATGGCGTCGGTACAGCGGTATATTTTATATACATATATATTTTTAACTGTTGTTATAGAAGAGTGTGACGGCCTCAGGGCCTTTGTCTTACGGTGGGGTGGAGCTGAAGAGGGTAATCAGCGCGATCACGGACACCTCCGTAGCCGGTGCTATTAATCCCAGCGGCCCGGAGTCTCTCTCCAAAGCGGCTGCAGAAGGACGAACTGAGCGACCCTCTCCCCTCGACCACCTGTCTCTGCATTTACTACAATAAATGTGCCGTGGTTTTGTAAACTCGTGTATGTCTCCTTGTCTTTCCGTTGTGGCCTACGAGCGACTCTCATAACAAAGAGTAAGTTATTTTTACCCGTTATAAACTACTACTGTTTGATGAGAAATCAAATCATGGTTTGCTATATATGAATTCAGGGAAGAAAGGATAGGCCTACTAAGTATTTCCATTAAACTTTATTTTTAGAAATGTACAAAATGAACATAAATATACATATATACACGGTATATCATCCATTCCTCCTCCTCGCATCTTGCCTGCGCACAGTCGGTGCGGTGCCTTTTAGCACCCTCAGTAGTAGTAGAATCCCTTCCCCGTCATGGATTGTCCGCCAGGATCTGGCTGGACGAAATCAAATGCAAATCACAAAATATTAGAGAAACTTAGTTGTTTTAGATTCGTTAGTAGTAGTTGTGTAATGAACAGCTTGCCTGCTAATATGCTAACCTAGCTTTGTTTACCTTGGTAGCTAACACGATATGAACGTTAGCTTGGAGGAAAGGCAACTATAATGCAGTGTAATAAAACTACTATGAACAAAAGCTAGTGGTTCATATTAGGCTAGCAATAACGTGTTTATAATTGCAATCGTATACGGGTATTCTGCTACGTTCGGTCATACAATGTAACTTGCATGAATACATTGTTTTGCGCTAGCATACAGCTAGCCTCGTTAGCTACATGCAGTATATGTACGGTCACAATGTACGGTAAATCACAGTACAGTATACTGTATGAGTATTCCGTGTGTGTGACTGCAGACATTCTCCTGCCATGACAAACATGTAAGGCCATCTGCTGACATTGTAGTTGATATATTTAAACGCTAGCAACGTAGCATCACAAAAATGTTTTTCTGACCGAAACTAGCTCTAGCTCCGTGTGTTAGATCGCTACGCCAGCTATAATGTAATTACGTTTCGCGACTGACCGGCAAATCACCCGGAGTATACTGTCAATAGGTATTTTGTGTGTGAATGCAGACATTCTCCTGCTATGAGATACATGTATGCAAGGCCATCTGCTGATATTAGAGTTGATATATGGAAACTCTAGCAACTTAGTTAGCACTGTGTCAATGGCTTAGCAGTCCAACACAGTTTACACATTTAAACAGTCTTGTTTGATAAATACACAAATAACAATGCAAACTTACAGGTTGTATACCCAGATCTTCCCCTGCTCCAAACGGTCCAAACAAGCTGTGCATATCCGGCCTCAAACTGGGCAATGTTTTGGAAGCTTTCGTCTGTGAAATGCCGGTTCTTCGAACCTCTGGAGGAGGAACACGACGCTGCTGGTGTGGCCATAGCTCTTCGGGATTGGTCCATTTCGTTCCGGGTACCGCATGACATCAGGCGGTACCCGGAACTAAATGGAAAACTCAAATGGGCAGTGACGTATCTCCAACGAGGCGTTTTGGGGAGGTATTTTCTGTGTTAGAGTTTTACTCGCTACAGGGTGTACTTTGAGGGTTTTGACTCTGCACACCGTTTACATGCATAAAAACCTTCATAACACACAAGGGGACGGGTAATAACCGGAAAAGCATGACATGGGAGCTTTAAAATGCGTGTTTTCTGAATGGAGATCGGATCGATCAGGCTAAACTAACCTGTAGCTGCTCCGTCCACACTCACAACAACATGATACAGACAGAAATAAAGCAGCGACTGTATTCGCCCATGGTTTGTAGATGTTTAACTTTTGTCCAGTTTCTGAACAGATATGAGGAGCTGTGAGCTCTGTGTGCTAACAGCTAACGGCTGATGTTTTGGGACATGTTGATGTGGTGATGGGTTGACAGCATGTCGAGGATAACATCATATGTATATCCTTTGTTTAAATATTCCCTAAAGATTTCCATCTCTTCTTCCATTCTTTCCAACTCAGTTTAAAATTTGTGCAGAAACAGCTGAATAGTACCAAACCAAATACGTGGCGCTGTCGGGTGCTGACCAATCACGAAGCGTCATTTCTTGACTGGCAGCAAAAACAACCTATCACAGCAGTGCTTCTCTGGCTGGCTCTGTCCAATCACAAACAAAAATGTACACTATTCGCCAACAGGGGGTGCTGCAACACCTCCAGCACCCCTACTTCCCGCGGCTATGGTTGGTAGTGGTCAAATCAGGTCTTATGTCTTCTATGAAAATGTCAAAGGGTTAAAGAGAGATGATGTGAGACTTCAACAGGACTTAGGAAAGACAACCGTGGTGCTAAGAATCCAACTGCACTTATACTGGGCGTAGTTATTATGATTAGATTTATAATCTAAAGGGGATGGCGCCACTTGGAAATGTATTGCAATGTCTTTTTGACAGGTTTCAGCCGTTGTTTTATAACAAATTAATTTGAATATGGAACCAGTTGGTGATATGTAATGCCGCTCCCTTTGTCTTTGGATCATGTGGTTTGGTATTAAACATTACACCTCTTTAGATTATATGAAAGGATGTATTCACTTTGTATCAATAGGATTGGATCATCCATCATTTAATCAATATATAAATTCAGATATATTGTGATGGCCATAATAAATAAATAGTATTCTCAAACTATTCAGGTCCAACTCGCAACTGAATCAAAAGCATTGACTGTAAAGTCTACAAAGAATAAAGACATAACTGTGCCTGGAAGTGATGGAAAAGCTTGACACAGTAATCAGTCACATCGGAGATTATGTGTTGTTTATTTTAAATGTAATTTGTAGTTTCTTGCATCCAAAAGCAGCTCTGACATTGACGTACTTTACTTTGGAAAACAAGTAGCAACAGCGGAAACAAGAATAAAACAGCTCATTTTATGACATCCAAATTGATTTGGAGTGTTGAAATGGTTGGCAGTTCCTGGAAGCCTTGCTGCATTAGCAAGTTTCTATCATTAGACTAATCAGTTAAAAAAAAGAAAATGTGGTCAATCAATTGCCCGTCCCTCTTCTAGTAGAAATAATATACGACTACAAAAACACAGAGAGGACAGGGATGCTCATTTACTTTGCTGACCTCTCCCAGTCAGGATGTGTGCAGGTTTCCTCTTTCTGCCCCTCCTCACA